ACTATTTGCTTTCGGGTTTGTTTTAGAGGGTTTCACCAAAAATGGCTTCTCTCCAAGTATTCGTTATCACGTAGTTATTATTCTCATTAGTTTTTGCGTTCATTAGTGTTGTTTTTGATTGATCTTTAATTAGATTCATACTGACCCTCCATTAATAGCGATGGTGACTTTTCATTGATCTTTAAATGTTTGGTACACATATTATTTGACTGTTTGCTACAAAAAAGACAAAACGAAAAAGAAATAATGACCAAAATAATAGAACCAGCTTATCATTAGACAAAAATAAGACCTCTTTTTGTTTTAGACAAAAAAGAGACTAACTATATCTGAACCGTCAAAAATACCGTCCTATATCTCCCTTGCCTAGTTGCCTCCTTCCTTCTCACATCCAATCTGTTTGTTCGTTGCTTTCCTTCCAGACGTTAGGATCACATGATTCTTGCAAAAAAATTGAGATTTTAGTTGAAAAGTAGGGGATGTTTTTGAAATCTTTTCATTTGAACGTAACCCTTAGGTCCGAATTTCGTGATTAATTTTAAATTCTTGCTACAATTGATGATTAAGATGATATTGTAATACTTTGTGCTGATATATACTACGTAACATTTTAAACCTAATTGTTGCATCAATTTGTGAATAAACTTTAATTTCGGGGAAATTTCTAGAAATAATGAGAAACAATGCCTTGAGTTGATGAAGTGTGTGGTTTGCACTGTATATATATTTGCCTAATTATGAAGGGATGACCCTGAAAAGAAAGGAAAGTGCCGGTGCCTCAACCTCTTCTTGTTCCCATCCGTGTTTCACTTCTCGTGCAAATGAGGAGTGGTACGAGACTCGGGAAATTTGAGGGATGGTATTAGACAAGACAGTTGATCCCATTCTCAATACGACCTTTGAGCTTATGGAGGCATTCATGCGTCTAGGGTGAGCGGTGATGCTCACCTTGACAAGTGCATACTATCCACGGTTGATCCGGGACTCCGGGAGTTTTATGACAACGTAAATAATGACCAAGAGACCGGTTATGTTTTAATTCAAACCTCTGTCAAAGGGATGAACATAACAGTTGACCCAGGCCTTCTCTCCTGGCTTCTCCAAGTCAGTGATCAAGGGTCTACTTTAGAGTACAATCAAAGTGGCATCTTCATTGACGGTGCCTACAATGAAGAGGATGTACGACAACGGTTTGGGCTCACAAGGTACCTCAAGACCAAATACTTACATATCCAGGAATGCCTCGTCATTTGTCTCCCAGGGTTCAATATTGTCCCTGTTGGAGGTATTGGTCCTACAAGGGCCCCCCTTCCACTTTATTTGTTGAGTCTTGCACACTATATTTTACTCTCTCTTGGATATCTTTATTTTGGTATATATCCTGATCAAATATATACCTATTTGAGTGGTTGACTTACCCACTTGGCTGACCCCTTTGTTTGCTGTCCACTGCAACCTCTTTGTCTTGGCTCATACATGTGAACTTCCCTTGTTTGAGCAGCATGTGAGTGTCTTTTGTTTTAACCTCACCCGTGACTTCCTTGGCATCCTATTTGTACCCCTTGCTTCTCCCATTGTGAAGCAGCCTGCGAGAGAGTAACACTTCCAGAGAGCAGAGCTCACTTCTTCTTCCTTCTTTGTGTGAGTGTAGAGAGGTCTTAGTGGAGAGTTGAGATATTGTGTGCTATAGCTTCCTCCTAGAGTGGTGTGTGAGAGTGTGTGTAGATAGACCTGAGCTAGAGACGGAAGTAAACGGTCCTTACAGTGGTATCAGAGCCTGGAACCGCCGTCCGCCGCCGTCCTCCGCCGCCGTCCGCCGCTTCCATCGATTGGAGCTCGCCGTCCAGAGTTTGTTCGTCGTTTCAGCCCATTGTCTATTCTGGAGGAGCCAGACCAGAATCGTCGCACGTCGCAGAGGAGCTGCCGCCGGAGGACCTGAACGTCGCTTGAAGACTCATCGGAAGTTTAGACCGCCATAGCCACCCCTGGAAGTTCAATCGTCACCTGGGAGCTCCACCATCGAAGTCGCTGGGCTGCTTCGCCGTTTTCCGATGGACGCCGGGTTGCTCGTTCACCGACAAAGACGCTGGTGACTCCCTGGTTCGCTTCTGGAACGACGAGGACGAAGCAGAGAGAAATCTCGACAAAGGCGCTGTTCATACGCGCTGGGGACACGACAAATAAGAAAGTTGGACGGGTATTGTATTTGACTTAAAGCTGGACTGCTGACCTGGCTTGGACCGGTGGAGCAGTCTAATTAAGCTCTGGGCTGCTGGGCCTTTCTTCTCTGGGCCGCTGGACCTGGGGAATTACTGGGGCTAAGTTGCTGATTTGTTGGACTGGAGCTGGGAGCTGGGAGCTGGACTGCCGGGCTGAAGCTGTTGGACTTGGACTGCTGGACCGGGTCAACTGGTCAACGCCAGTCAATGCCGGTCAACGACAGTCAACCCTCCAAAAAAAAATCCCAATTTTTTAAAATTTGGGTAGGTAAGGTCGAAACGCTCTCCTAGGGTTTCACGAAGGTAAGTTTCCGATAAACTTCCTATTTATAGCATTCCGGTTTTAATTTTAATTTATTCCCCCTCCCCGCGGGCCGCCGGTTGATTTATCCCGGCCGCCAACCCCCCAGGTACGTTCTAAACCCTCTCCTTTGTGGTTGATTGTTTTAGTTGATTAATTAAATTACTAAGTGTTATTTAATTTAATTTTTATGTGTAGGGGTGGTTTATTGGGTGGTAGGAGTAGAATTAATTAATTTTAATTTTCTGCCCGGAATTGTTTAATTGCCAAAAATATCCATTTTTTTTTGCTATGTGTTGCATGCTGCCCGGGGTGATTAAAGTGAATACTTTATAGCCCGGGTTAGATTATTTTCTGTCATTTCTGTCTGTTTAGCTTTGTGTTCCTTTTGTGGTTGATACCATGGCTGCGAATCAGTATGGTATGCTTCCATTTAATGGAAAAACAGATTTTGATATTTGGAAACAGAAAATTAAGTGTGTTTTAATGCAGCAAAAAGTTTTCAGAGCTGTCACTGCTATTTTCCTTGAATCAGAAGATAAGGCTAAGCAAACTGAAATGAACGAAACTGCTTGTTCTACTATTTACTTGAATCTGTCTGATTATGTGCTTAGGAAAGTGGGTGTTGGGGTATATTACCCCGGCCTACTACTGTTCAGATGCCAAGACACCGTCCAGGTACGGGGCCCGGTCCGCGAGGCTCGTTTAGGCCCCTCGGGCCCATTTGGAGCCATTTAGGCCTACTCGGGCCTGTTTTGGCCCATTAAGGCCTTTACGACCCATTAGCATCAAAGGGTATCATTTCCCTTCTATAAATAGGAAGCTTGGCTTCCAGGTTTAGGGATCCGATTTTTAGGCTCTCCTCTTCCCCATTACTTCTTCTTCCTAATTCTATGTAGAATAGCTCAAGCAAGCTTCATTAATGGAGGTTTTGATATTTGTACTATGTAATTGAGTGATGGGAGGATATTAATGAGAAAGAGCGGGCTTGGACGTTAGCCTAAAAAGTCCCGTGGTTTTCTCCCTTCCCGGGTTTCCACGTAAAAATAGCTAGTTCATACACCTTATATATATTTTTATTTACTTTTATACCGAATTAATCGTCCTTAATATCCGAAGTTTATGTTGGGCTTCCGGATCTACGGGACAAAACCTCAACATTGGTGCCGTCTGTGGGAACAGAATGAAAAGATCATGTTCGTGTAATCGTGTTCTACAAAAATTTGTCATCGAAGATGAGCTGATTCCCGACGAGAAAGGGTGAAATTGGAATTTCAGATCTGCTCCAACGTAGCTAACTCGCCAGTCAACGACGATGGAAGGCACAAAAACAGGGGAAGACCTCCAAACCCATTCGAAAGACTCCAGTAGCTTGGCCATGGCCAAAGTTCATATGTCTTACCCATATCGTGAAGTAAATGTTAAGGCCGAAGCAGGAGGGGCCAAAGAGAATTGCTACTACGTACCTAGAACTACTAATGATTGAGGAAATGAGGAGTGGGACCCGGATATCCACTGACTTGCCTAAAGCCTGACAATTGGGTAAGCCTGACAAGTGATTTGACAGATTAATATTTACCCAAAAGATTAACGCCGCCTTCCCGAACGGGAAGCTCCCCGAACGCGAGAGCAAATGGCTGCAAACGACGGGAATCCCATGCTACCAGTTCACCGTCCAGAACGGGACCCCTACGAATACCCAAAGACTCTGCAATAGTTACACGAAACATCGTTCCTCGCTCCTGTTCGTCCCATGCTCCTCTTGTTAGCTTTTTTACCCAGGGCTGGTCCTGATATAGGGGCAGGATGGGCGGCTGCCCAGGGCCCACCAGAAAGAGGGGCCCGCAAATCATTTAGTAGTATTATGTATATTGAGTTATGTTCACCTAAGACGCGCTTGATCGGGAATTATGTACGGCCAAACCCATTTGAGGTGCTTTGAAATGAAACTGTTTCATGAAAGTTTGTTAGCATATTTTTCATTAAGTGTAGATTATGTCCACATAATTTGAGCTTAAAATTCCATCAGGAAGTCCGTTAAATAAAATATTGAAAAATAGTGCTCTTTATATTTGTTTAAAAAGCGCAATGTTTTTTTGTAATTTATTTACCTAACTTCCCAATTGAATTCAAAACTGAAATTTTGTGCAAATAATCTAATCTTTGTGAAAAACATGCTAACAAAATTTTATCAAAAAAATTGACCAGATCATTTTGTCAGGCGCTTCTGACCAAATCATTTTCTTATACTCTAACACTCCGTCAAAGATACCCCTCAACCCTCATATCCATAGAGTGAGCCACAACAGCACAGCTACGCATGAGATACAATTGAATGACTTTCAACTTTCCTCACAGAAGCCGAAAATTAAAGATGATATTATCATGGACAATTTTCCTTTAAGAATGCCTAAAAATTTGTTTTTGTATGACTTAAGATACCAAGTAGTTTTATTAACAAAAACATTTAGTTGTGTAACGAATTTTATTTTTTATAATGAAACTTTTGTAATATATTCTTACAACATACTACTTATATAATCAGGGGCCTATTTTTGTATTTTGCCCCGGGCCTATAAATTGTCAAGACCGGCTCTGTTTTTACCAGAACGGGAACTCCAAGAACCTGCCTGATTGGCTCGAACAGGAATTCTGACCAGTAGCAACATTGTAACTTGCCCCTGGTAACCCGATTGGAAAAGCCCCATCCCCGAACAGTCTTTGGGGTAGCCGCCCCCAACAGGGTAATCGCTTCTGTTCGGGTGATAACAACAGACGACGAACTGCCGAGGGGGGTGAATCCCTGGCCACCTAATTAATTCTGGCCGGCACCGTCATGAGTAAACAACCGATGAAGGCAGAGTGGCCGTCCGGGTAGGAATTTTCCCATCAGGCAACCCAGCGCACCAAAATCACCCAAGAACACCCAGGGGCTCAAATTTCTACAGACCCCGTTCGGGCAAGTGCTCACAGGACACCCAGATTTTCTGCCATCTTAATTTCGGTAGAGAATCCCGTTCGATCTGCCTCCCTAACCGACACTGGTTCGCGATTTCGAGGGCTCCAGAAGGCATCAGCTAAATAAGCTTAACCGCCCAAGATTCCGCCATCCGGAATCTCCCGAACAGCCACGTCGCACAGTAGCCCGAACGCCGTACATCCTTGGCCGTTGTTCCCTTTCACCGAGGACCCAGTACGTATCCCGGTAAGGAACGCCCGTTCGCGAATCTTCCCACAAGTTCGAACAGGGAATTGCCGATCGGTCCATTATTTGACACCAATGCTAATTGCTAAGGCCTCATGGCTGCAAAAGGGAGAACGTATAGGCCTAGTTGGTTTTGGACTACTAGATGGCATGGGCCGGATGCATATATGAGCGGTCAAATTAGAGCCAATGTGATGGACCATGAAGCCAAAATTATCCTTGTCAAAAGTTAATCTTAATCGGGCCAATCTATTGGCCTGACAGCTGAAATTCAGCCTATCCAGCTAAGTATCACAATTTTCTCACTTGCTAATAAATTTCAAATAGTATTGTTGGGAATAGTTGTCATCACCATTATTTAGTTGTCATCACCATTATTTATCCTGGGTGAAATAAATACCGAGTGAGGCTCGGGAGATAAGTACACCGTCATTTTTAAATTAAATGATTGGGTTAATGGGCCGACCGGCCAACCCACGATCGGCTGTAATGGAGCGATCTGAGTGCCTTGAGGGGCATTACTCCGACGACACATATTAATTGCTATTAGTTGAATAACAATTATTTACCTAGGAATTAAAATTCCCAAGATGAATAGTGTCGAACGGAGCTTTATAAATAAGATCACCAACGTTTTAAATAAATGTTTGGTTTGAATGGCCGATCGGTCCACTCCCGATCGGCCCAAATGATATTGACTAAAGCGTCTCGCAAGGGCATGGCCCGATGACGTATTTTGATTTGAAGACCACTCAAGGTCTCGTTCGGCATTAAATGCCCGAACGGAAACTATACCCAGTACGGGGCGAAGTACGTATTTCGAGAAATAAATCTAGGCCGAAGGTTATTATTACCGCTTCGGCCAGTAATCATGAATGAAAAATTAATAATAAAAAAGAAATGTTACACATGTGTGTGTATATACTTGTATATGTTGTTCGGTCGTTCGGCCGTATTACCATGCTTACTGTGCAGTGAGATTCTAGAGATATTCTCGAACGGGAGGTCATGATGCACGTAGATGTTCATGACGATTCGGCATGAAGCGCGTAGACGTTCATGCCCGGCAACAAGAAAAGAATCATATTTATTCAAAGCCGTTCGGGCTACCCAAACAGGGAGATCATGACGCACAGAGATGTTCATGACGTTCGACGTGACGCGCAGAGACGCTCATGATTGGCAACAAAAAAAAGGGAATATTTACATTTAGAGCCGTTCGACCAGCTCGGACGGGGAGATTGTGAAACGCAGAAATATTCGTGATTCGGACAAAAAAAAAGGACTACAAATGTATAGATGTCACAACACATGAAGGGAAGTCCTATGGACTGTACGATACACGAGCTTTCAGATTACGCTACCTGACTGGCAATCCGGCCTCCGCCATTCGGCACCTAGAGCAACATTATGGGCTGAGGGCGCCTGTAAGACCCTCGGATTTACAGATCGGCCTCCCAGCGCTGACTTTCCTTTCACCACGACCGATCTTCCTGGCTCGGCGTGATGATCATTTGGAAGACCGGCTTCATCTCCGCTCCTCGCGGATGAGGACCGTTGATTATTTGTTTTTGATCGGCCCCCAGTGCCGGCATCTTTACATGGCCACCGACCTTCTGGTACGGTGCCATTATCATATTTGAAGACCGACCTTGTTCCCGCACTGCGCAGATAAGGACCGTTGCTTGTTCCTTTCCGATCAGCCCCCAGTGGTGACCTCATTACATGGCCACCGACCCTCTGGTACGGTGCCATTATCATATTTGAAGACCGGCCTCGTCCCCGCACTGCGCGGATAAGGACCATTACTTTATTTTCAGGTTGGCTTCTCATTGCCGACATCATCATATCATGATCGGCCTGTCGGCACGACGTGTTTATCCTCTTTGAAGAGCGGCCTCGTCCCCGCACTGCGGATGAGGACCGTTGCTTGACTTTCAGCATGGCTACATTTTGTGGACCGCTGCCGCAGTTGCTGCCGCTGTCCTTGAGCAGAGGGCACTCGCAAGACCCTTGGATTTATTGATGTTCCTCATATCATGATCAGCCCCACGGCACGACATTATTTGCTTTGGAGGCATCTTCACATTCCATGAAGTCTCACCTCGATCGATAGATACCACTTGTCTCGATCCATGGGGAGCCATCATCTCAGCACAAAAAAAAACATGAATGTGCAGGTTAACCAAGCCCGGATTCAGCTTGGGAGATGGTGAAGATCTTGAGTAGGACAAACTGAGCGGGCATCCGAAAGCATAGGGTGACCGAGCGGGGGATCGGGACTCTGGTCTTAAAATCTCGCCTTGGCTATGCAGCTCGCACGAACCACGACGAAGTGATTCGTTATGGTGGAACCCGAGCTGTAACCTGGAGGCGAGTCTCCATTTTGGCAGAGGATAAGGAGGTGACCCGAATGGGAGCCTTATTCTCAATGGTCCAGAATGGACATCTCAACCTCCTAATATGGATGACCCCGGACGGTAGAACCGGACGGCATGCATCGGAATTATGGGTTTGGAAGATGGCAGGCATTACACGAATTGTGGAAGTGCCTTGCTACAGGGAAAACACAGATGATAAGGCCTTTTGGAGCCATTTAGGCCTACTCGGGCCTGTTTTGGCCCATTAAGGCCTTTACGGCCCATTAGCATCAAAGGGTATCATTTCCCTTCTATAAATAGGAAGCTTGGCTTCCAGGTTTAGGGATCCGATTTTTAGGCTCTCCTCTTCCCCATTACTTCTTCTTCCTAATTCTATGTAGAATAGCTCAAGCAAGCTTCATTAATGGAGGTTTTGATATTTGTACTATGTAATTGAGTGATGGGAGGATATTAATGAGAAAAAGCGGGCTTGGACGTTAGCCTAAAAAGTCCTGTGGTTTTCTCCCTTCCCGGGTTTCCACGTAAAAATAGCTAGTTCATACACCTTATATATATATATTTTTATTTACTTTTATACCGAATTAATCGTCCTTAATATCCGAAGTTTATGCTGGGCTTCCGGATCTACGGGACAAAACCTCAACAGTGGGTATTCTTGAGTCCGCTAAGGAGTTGTGGGAGAAATTGGATAGTCTCTATACTGATACCTCTTTGCCCGGGAAGTTGTTTTTACTAGAGAAATTCTTTAGGTTTAGGCTTGACCTGGCTAAGGATATAGATGAGAACCTGGATGTGTTTAATAAACTGATACAGAATATCAAACAGGCAGGTGATAAACACATAGATGATTATACTCCCATAGTGTTACTTAATGTCATTCTCGACTCTTATAATGATGTTAAGTCCGCTATTAAGTATGGTAGGGATGAGATTTCGTTAGACATTGTTGTGAATGGGTTAAGGAGTAAGGAATTAGACCTGAAGCATGCTAGGGGTAGTGCTAGTCAGTCCAGGGACTCCAGTGAGGCTATGTTTGTTAGGGGTAGATCTAAGGGTAGATCTAAGAACTCTAAGCAAAATAGTCAAAGTAAGAACCCTAGTCAGCCCGGGAGAAAGAGGAGCAAGTCTAGGAAGAGAGTGTGTTACAATTGTGGTAACACTGGTCATTTCATTAAGGATTGCCCCCACCCTAAGAAGACCGAGCATGCTAGTGTAGCTGTTGATAAATGTGACCTTGATGATATTTTGATGGTTTGTGACCATGTTAACTCTGTGAGAAATCCCCTGTCTGAGCATGAATGGTTGATTGACTCTGGTTGTACCTATCACATGTCCCCCTTTAGAGATTTGTTTTCTACTTATGAATTATGTGATAGTGGCTACGTTTCCTTAGCTGATAATAAGACATGCAATGTGCTTGGTGTTGGTGATATATTGTTAGACCCTAGATTTTGATGAACTGTTTTTGATGATGCCAAAAGCTTTTGTTATCCCCCCTCTATTGTAGCATTATTATAAGAGTCTTTGCTATCCTCTGTAGTAGCATCTTGCAGTTGTCTAGTACTAAGAAAATTATCTAGATGTGTTGTGCTCCTTTTTATATAGTTAACAAATAAATATGACTGGAAAACCATAAAATACAATAAGGCAATATTGTATTGCCTTAAAAGGATATCGTATAAATCCAACCAGTTAAATTTATTTGTTACACACAATAACATCTCGCACAAATAAACTATCTATTTTAACTGGAAAACAAAATGCAATAAGGTAATTTTACCTTAATAGGAGTTGATATCCTACCAGTTAAATATTTAGCTTATCATGTTCGAAATACTAGATAAACCATACACTCAGAAGAAGAGTTCTTGATATTCTATTCACTACAACAAATAACAATGTAAAATCTATATAACAAAAAGAACACACTGGGATTCAAAATGAAATAAGGTAAAGTTGTCTTTATCTTAAAATTGGATATTTAAATCCAACCAGTAAAGTGTTATTTGATATATAGATAAATCAAAGTGAACAAGAATAGTGAACAACTAACTGGAACACAAAATGCAATAAGGTAATAACTTTTACCTTAATAGGATTTGTTATCCTACCAGTTAAGTTGTACACAATACCTGCTAAACTACACAAGTACTTAAAAGTGACAAGAATTCCAATGTACAAACTATGTATCAGATTAAACATACTGGAACTATAAAATGCAATAAGGTAAAAATTATTTACCTTACATGGATATTTAGATCCAACCAGTATAGCTTTAATTTGGTACATAAGTTTAATCATGTCACTTAAAGAAAGAAAGTGATTAGTAAAATAAGTGACAAATTTTACTGTGAAATTTGTACCAAATAAATTGTACTGGAAAGAACAAAATGCAATAAGGTAATCTTATTACCTTAATAGGATATTTCAAAGATCCTACCAGTACAAAATTTATTTGATACAAAATATTCTAAGTCACACATTTTACTACTTCACTACTTAAGCAGGTTCACGCACTCAGCTTCACGAGTATAGTTGCAAGACAAGGCCAAAATGCAAGAGCAGAGAAGACATCAGAATGGGTGAATAGTGAAGAAGTTTCAGAATAGGCATGCAGCGATAAGAAGGCCTAAGGTATGGGTGTTATCTTCGTACAAAGCAAGTGGTCTTCAAAAGACAAATCCTTATCCTGCTCCAACACAAGAAGACGCAAGTACAACACTTTGGACGTCTAGGATTAAATCCTCTTAACCAACGGAGGAGATTAATCTATTGGAGATGCCTATAAAAATAGGCAGAAGCATGAGATCAAAAGCAAGTCATTGAGTTCAAAGCAAGTGGTTCAGTCATTACACTACGCATATCCAGCAAAAGAGAAAGTGCTTGAACACTCTGCTTTGACTCATGCTTCACTAAGCTCTTAGATTAGATCATAAATTGTCATATTTTTAGAGCTTAGATTTTAGTTGGTAGGCCAGAAATTCCTTGTATTTTACAAGTGGTTGTAAACACTTAGGAGAACAGTTGTTCGGATCCTATAGTGTGGTTAGATAGATAGAGTACCTTTTGATCCCCACTGGATCAATCGAGAAAAGTCTTAAGGACTGAGTAACTTTGAGTGGTGTTATACTCATCGTGAAAAACCTTCAATCTAGGCCAGAGTTGTCAAGGCTAGATTGGCACTAATTGTATTGGGCTGAATACTTTAGTGGAAATCCATCTGAAATAGGGTGGGACTGGATGTAGGAGGATTACACCACCTCTGAACCAGGATATATCGTGTGTTGATTTACTTTCATACATGCAGAAGCACACACCAAACACATCTCACTAAAGGATTGTAGTTTGCCAGCAGCATCCTAAGCAGTAGTCTTCATCGACTGTACTGCTTAGCCTACTGCTTAATAACTCACTCTCCTTGAGAGTGTTTTCCACTAGAAGTTATCTTACACTCAGAAGGTGCCTCAGCAGTACCCTGGTCTTCACCCTCCTGCTGAGCCCACTGCCCATCCATATGTGTCTTTCCGAACGCCATAACAAGCCAGAACAAAAAGCCATCCAAGAGTCATCCTGTTCTTAACAGTTGCCTCAGCAGTAACCTGCTCACCAGTCTACTGCCAAGCCTACTTCCTCTTGTAACCAGTCTAAACATCATCTAAACTAGAAAGTTATCTCACACTAAGTATAAAGAGGTTAAAGACTTCCGCTGTGCATCTATTAATCTCTTAAAAGATTATAGATCAACTCATCTAGAGGGAAAACTTCATAAAGTTGAAAAAGATTTAAAAGTCTATTCACCCCCCCCCCTCTAGACTTTTACCTCTATCCGGGACCATCATATATGTCTGAAATTTTCTTGTGGCTCTGTGTTTACCATTAAGAATGTGAGGCATGTCCCTGATTTGTGTCATAACTTGTTATCTGTTGCTGCTTTGGAGAGTAGTGGGTTACAGGGAAAATGGAGGAATGGTTGTATGAAAATCCTGAAGAACTCGCTTGTTTTGTTTAAAGCTGAGAAGGTGAATAACCTTTATGTGTGCCATGCTAAACCTTTTGCTGAGTCTGTGAATGTTGTATGTTCTGATAAGACTTCTTTGTGGCATAATAGGCTAGGACATATGAGCAATAAGGGTTTAGATGTCATGCGTAGGGCTGATTATTTTGGTAAGGACTCTGTGGATTCTGTGCCTTTCTGTGAATCATGTGTGTTAGGCAAGCAGCATAGAGTCAGCTTCCCTCCTTCCTCTTACCCTAATCTGTCTAAGTGTTCTTCTGTGCTTGAATATGTTCATGCCGATGTTTGGGGTCCTGCCAGTGTTCCTACCCACGGGGGTAGGAAATATTTCCTTTCTATCATTGATGATTTCTCTAGGAAGGTGTGGGTTTGCCTTTTAGAACACAAGTCTGATGTGTTTGTGAGGTTTAGGGAGTGGAAAACCCTAGTTGAAAACCAAACTGGCAGGAAGGTTAAAACCCTTAGGACTGATAACGGGTTAGAGTTCTGTAATAAGGAGATGGATAAGCTGTGTGTGGATTGTGGGATAAAAGGGCACAAAACTGTGCCTTATACTCCCCAACAGAATGGGATAGCAGAGAGAATGAATAGGTCTCTGTTGGATAAGGTTAGAAGCATGTTAGCTACCTCTGGTTTGTCTAAGAAATTCTGGGGTGAAGCAGTTACTACTACTACCTATTTGGTTAATAGGTCCCCGTCTGTCCCTCTTGGTGGTAAGTGTCCTGAAGCCGTCTTTACCGGTAAGCCTCTTGATCTGTCTAACCTTCGGGTGTTTGGTTGTGCAGCGTATGCACATCAACAGGGTGACAAGTTGGATCCTAGGTCTAAGAAATGTGTCTTCCTAGGTTATCCAGAGGGGGTAAAGGGTTACAGGTTATGGGATAGGAACCAGGTAGGCTTTAAGGTGGTCCTTAGCATAAATGTGGTGTTTAATGAAACTGATTTTCCTTGCTTGACCAAGTCTGTTTATAATCCTGAGTCTAGGTCTGATAGTACTCCTAGTGAGGTGGAGTCTGTCCCTGTTGCTGCTAGTCCTTTATCTGTTGATCCTGTTATTACTGATGATATTGTTATGCATGATTCTGATTCCTCTGAGCATGATAGTCCCACCACCTCGAGTGAGGTGGAGCATTTGCATGATACTGAGCATGATTTGCATGATATGGGTGCTGAATATGATTTTCATGATAACAATAATTTGCATGAGTTGCATGTGGAGCCTAGTAGTGATAATTTCCATGATTATCAACTTGCTAGAGATAGGAGTAGAAGGGCTATCAGGAGAACTGCTGATAGTATGCCTGATTATGCTTTCATTGTGCATGATACTTCTATGTTTGCATTTTCTGTGTTTGAATCCCTAGAGCTGAATGAACCCAAGACCTACCGTGAAGCCTTAGGTTCCAAAGAGTCTCAGAAATGGATTAGTGCCATGAAAAGTGAGATGGACTCTTTGCGACTGAACCAGACTTGGACCCTTGTACCTAGACCCCCCAACTGTTCGGTAGTTGAGTGTAAGTGGTAGTTTAAGGTTAAGGAAGAACCTAGTGATGTTAGGTTTAAGGCTAGGTTGGTTGCGAAGGGGTTTACTCAAAAAGAGGGGGTAGATTATGCAGAAATCTTTGCTCCTGTTGTTAAATTCACCACTATTCGTATGATGCTTGCTTTAGTTGCTCACCATGATTGGGAAATGAAACAGATGGATGTAACTACTGCATTTTTGCATGGTGAATTGGACAAAACAATTTATATGACCCAACCTGAGGGCTTTGTGGATCCCAAGAGAAGTGAGCATGTCTGTTTGCTTAGGAAGGCATTGTATGGCCTGAAGCAATCCCCTAGGCAGTGGAACATCAAATTTGATAAATGCATGATATCTTTGAAGTTCCAAAAATCTGTTTGTGATCATTGCCTGTATTTCAAGAATACTTCTTCTGTGCCTGTATTTTTGTTACTCTATGTGGATGACATGCTAATAATTAGTCCTTCTCTGAATGCTATAAAAGATGTGCAGAAATGCCTTAGTGCGAATTTTGCCATGAAAGACCTAGGTGATGCCAAGAGGATCCTAGGCATAAACATTGTTAGGGATAGGAGTAAGCGTACTCTTACTTTGAATCAGATTTCTTACATTGAAAAGGTTTTGAGTAAATTCAATATGTTATCTGCTTCTCCTGTTAATGTCCCTATGGCATCTCACTTTGTGTTAAGTAAGGACCAGTCTCCCAAGACTGCTCCTGAAATTGAGAAAATGAAATATGTGCCTTATTCCAGTGCAATAGGGTCGGTGATGTATCGTATGGTTAGCACTAGACCTGATATTGCATATGAGGTTAGTTGTTTGAGTAGATATATGTCCAACCCTAGTTTGCCCCATTGGAATGCTCTTAAGTGGTTCCTTAGATATCTGATTTCTACTGTGAAGCATGGATTAATTTTCTCTAAATGTGCTAGTGGTATTGAATTGATTGGTTATGTTGATTCTAACTATGCAAATGATAGAGATAACAGGAAGTCGACCACTTCTTATGTTTTTACTTTGTTTTTACTTTGTGTGGCTCTTGCATTAGTTGGAAGTCTCAACTACAGCCTATTGTGGCCCTTTCTACCACTGAGTCCGAGTATGTTGCAGCCACAGAAGCGTTTAAGGAAGCCATCTGGCTCAAACGCCTTGTCTCCGAAATTGGGTTTCTCAAAATGGGAGTTACCATTTTCTCGGATAGCCAATCGGCTATCCAACTTTGCAAAAATCCTGTATTTCATGATATAACTAAGCATATTGATGTTAGGTTCCATTTCATACGTGATATTGTTGATGCAGGTGGAGTCAAGCTGTGCAAGATCCCGTCCGAGTTTAACCCCGCGGATATGGGTACCAAGTGTCATTCTGATGAGAAGCACTTGTCCTGTAAACGCGTGTTAAACTTTGACTGTGGATAACTGTGGGTTGCCTAATAAAGTGTTTGCCCGTTGTGTCTTTTGATATTCCGGGTGACCCGACAATGATGAGTCTTGTCACAACTTTGTATTGTTACTCTACACCACCTAGGACCAATATGGTGGAGAATGTTGGAGGTATTGGTCCTACCAAGGCCTCCCTTCCACTTTATTTGTTGAGCCTTGCACACTCTATTTTACTCTCTCTTGGATATCTTTACTTTGGTATATATCCTGATCAAATATATACCTATTTGAGTGGTTGACTTACCCACTTGGCTGGCCCCTTTGTTTGCTGTCCGCTGCAACCTCTTTGTCTTGGCTCATACATGTGAACTTCCCTTGTTTGAGCAGCATGTGAGTGTCTTTTGTTTTAACCTCACCCATGACTTCCTTGGCAGCCTATTTGTACCCCTTGCTTCTCCCATTGTGAAGCAGCCTGCGAGAGAGTAACACTTCCAGAGAGCAGAGCTCACTTCTTCTTCCTCCTTTGTGTGATTGTAGAGAGGTCTTAGTGGAGAGTTGAGATATTGTGTGCTATAGCTTCCTCCTAGAGTGGTGTGTGAGAGTGTGTGTAGATAGACCTGATCCGGAGATGGAAGTAAACGGTCCTTAAGTCCCCCGAGCTAGCGATCAAAATGTAGTCCGAAAGGTAGACCTCTACATTCTCTACAAGATGATAATGGGGCTAGGAGCAATAGAAGGGATACCATTACCCCGAATAATTCTCAAGAACATGAAAGCCGTAGTACGTTCTAAAAGAGGTGACATGAATTTTTATTTTCCTCTTTTACTTACCATGATTGTAACACCTCCACATTTCCCACTCAAAAACACATTTAAACAATACATTATTTATTATCTTTATTTAAAAACATCAGAGTTTTTCAGCGGAAATCAAAAGGGATATAGGGGTGCTACCGCCACACTCGGTTACCCTTAACCGATTGCACATGCTAAAACAACTTAAACTCAAAATAATTGTTCACTACAGGTCTTGAAATAAAATTAAACTACAATTACATTTTCTCTAGCGGAAGCTCTCTCGAAATCAACATCAGCATCAAATCTTCACCTATAAAGAACAAGGTACAGAAAAAAAACACAAAGAAACAAAAATTAGCCGAAAATGCTAGTAAGTCTCACTTCACCCAACCCCGTAAAATAATATAATTTGATGTATATGTATAGGGAAAACATTTTGGAGGAAAAATCTTTTCAAAACACTTTATGTAAATCATAAGTACAACAATATTAATAAAATATTCTTGATAGAAAGTCAATACCAGGATACTGGTATCTTGAGAGAGGTTAGAGCAATAAGTAAGAGAGGGAAAGTGTGGCTGCAATAAATAACCAATGGTCCATTACAACCGCTCAAGGGGCGCTATTTATACTAGTAAAAATGCTAGGTGCATTAAATGCACGTACACGTGTAAGCTAATGTATGGTGGAGAGCCCCCCAGCTGAGGGGGTGCTGGCACGTGGCACCGCATTTAGTGCGGTGGTCGGGCGTTAGCAGAGAGGAGCTTATGCCGAGAAAGGAGGCCTTCGGCACCAGGGCCAAAGGCTGTCTGCTGAAGGCCGATGCTCGAGACCAAATTTTAGTAGCGCCGTTGGGCCAAAAGTAATGGCGTTCTTGAGTTTGAGGCTTTCGGCCAAGGTACCGAAGGCCCTCCCTGTGAAATATGGGCTTCATGGAGCTTGGGCCGCCTGGGCTTATTGGGCCTGTTTGAGGTAGTAGGAGTATGTGGGCCGGGGGTTCCATACTTTCCACACTTTTCAATGATAATCAAGGCAAAAACAGGAGCAACTCAACAAATCTTATCCACACTTTCCTCTCAATGTGTAGAATCAGCACAAAGACAAAGATACATGTGTTGCAATGCTGATTGAACATGATTGAACATTAAGAGGGAGATTTTTAGAGAATATTTAAGCTGTCCAATCATGTTTTATATCTCATTAAGAGGGAGATTTTTTTATTATATATAGGTTAATCTTGTTTTCGGAGCATTTAGCTAGTTTGTACGCCTATTGTAGACAGGCCTAACCCTTAGACGTATAAAGTGTGAAGGCTGGGCTCGTAAACCCTAAGCAAAGTATCAAAATGAATAGAGACATTCACATATTAGCTAGAGTGAGAGAGGAGTCGTACATTGTATAAGAATACTACTCTGTAATAGCATATACCATTTCAATATTCAATACAAGGTTTCTTCACTTCTCTAATCGATTTTATTCATGGTTATATTTTTGGAAATGAGACAAACTTTTTCTTCATTTTTCTTGATACTATAGCGTCAGGGTGGAAGCCTGTCAAAGGTGTTACCATAACTGATTTGGGGGCGAGGAGATATATGTTACAGTTTTATCATGAGAGTGACATGATTAGGATTCTCGAGGAAGGCTCATGGGTTTATGACCAAAATCTTTTTGTGCTTAGTAAACTTGAGGAAGGGGACTTACCTATGTATGTTCCCCTAAATAGAGCTGGTTTATGGATATAGATTCTTAATATAACGGTAGGATATTTTACTCTAAACAAAATTGTAAGGGTTGGTAATTTTGTGGGGAAACTTAATTGTTAATGTAGATGAGTATAATTTTTCTGCTAAATGAAAATCATTCGTGAGAATTAGAGTTAGTCTGGATCTAGGAAGATCACTGAAAAAGAAGCTATTTCTGCAAAAAGAAGAAGGAATTATTTTTTTGTCTTTTCAATATGAGAAATTACCCAACCTTTGCTTCTTGCATGGAATTATTGGGCATGCTAAGAAGTACTGTTCTTATAATTCTGGAGGTAGTGTGTCAAGTGGAAAAAACCTTTTGGGTCACGGCTCAGAGCCACAAAAAGGAGAACACGGGTTGGATATAACAAGTGAGCAGTCCCGTATGGTAAAGGTCTGAACAAAGGCAGGGATGAGGCCACAGCCAGTACAGCTCACGAAGGACAAGGTGGTATGTATGAGGGAAAAGAGTTGGCAACAACAGGAGACAAAACAGAGCAAAAACGTAGAAGAATAAAACATGAAGCATGTGAGTTTTATAGCCATGGCATGGATGCGGAACCAAGTGGGACAAAAAATAGGAAGGAGGTGAGCTGCAGCTCCGTGGCTCGCCTAGCACAAATTTGAAGGCCTTGCAGGCACACCACGAAAAGGATGGAGAGGGGGAGCTCCATCCGTTTATGTTTTTGCAGTCTGTTATATTTAGTTTGAGTTTTTTTATTCAAGTACTATGTGGTTATCGTTATTGTTGACTTTAGGGGGAAGTAGGACTACATTTTAGTTTTATTTTGCTAATTAGTAATTGGTATAGAGGCACTAAGGCTATTTTTGCCGATAATAACTTTGAAACTCTCGCATGTTCATTGATCAATCTCTCATTTTTGGATGGTTTATTCAATGTTTGGTCGAGTAGTGAGGGGCATGTTGGCTGTAAGAAATCTAGATCTATTGATCTATTGATGTAGTTGGAAACTTGATCTATTGATGTAGTTGGATGTTTGACTTATGAGAGAATTTCCAAAATAAGACTAAAAGAAGATAGAATTGCAAAAATAGGACATAATGTTTTAAATTGCTTTAATAGGACTAATTATTCGTATTTGGACAAAACTAGCCTTCTTAATTCAATCCTGGAACATATCGCCGCCTCCCACACCCAGAAGCGCAGACAGAGAGGCCATTTGTGACAGAGAAATCCTAGATGGGCAGAAACCATCTGATCTTCCAAAAGCCGCCGCTCGTGGATGCCACACCGCCACCAGTCTTCTCCAATCTCCGGCGACCGCACATACCTTCTAATTTGTCTGATGAAGGCCGGGTAATTTTCTTCATCTCCTCTTCTCCTTCTCTTCATTTCTCCTTCTTCTCTACTCTTTGACCCTCCTCTCCTCTCCTGTAGGAATTATTCTCTCCTGTCCGATGAAGTCACATACCTGGTCCTTTTGTTTTTTTATTTTTCATTTATTTTTAGTTAAAAACTTTCAAAATTCTTTAATTTTGATTTTTTTCAAAAATGCCACTTTTATAATATGAGAATGTCAAATTATTGGTTATTTGAAAAAACTGCCACGTTTGTGGCAATATATTTATCAGAATGACAATCTAAAACTGTCATATATCCATAAGAAAATGTCATTCTTATGACAATCTAAGGTGACCGTTTCAAAGAAGAAAATGACATTTCCAGAATAATAATGTCAATTTCATGACATTTTCAGATAGTCATCCTGGTAATCGTAATGTCAGGAACGTGACATTTTTTTTCAAATAACCAATAATTTTGACATTCTCATATCATACAAGTGACATTTTACTGAATAAATACAATTCAAATCCAAAAAATCCAAATTAATAAATAAAATTCAAATCCCAAAAATTCAAAAAAGAAGAGAACACAGGACCATAAATTTGAGGAGGATTAGAAGAAGAAGAAGAAAAATATTATAAATGAATAAGTAAATCAGTTTTGGAACCTTGTTTTAATTTCTCTTCCAAAATCCCTAAATCAAAATAATTTTTTTAGAATCTCAAAAGTAAGAAAGTATTAAACTGAAATTCAAAAAAATAAAATAGGAACAAGAGGACCGGAGTCAGGGGCGGAACTAGAGGGGTGGCCAACCGGGCCACGGCCCGCCCCAAATTTGAAAATTCTTTGTATTTTTAGTCTAAAAATTTATGTCAAAAAAAATTATCTGAAAAATTCTTTGTACCGGCCTAGCCCAACCTTCAATCCTAGCTACGCCCCTGACCGGAGTCGTATAGGATAGAAGAGAAGAGTGAAAGAGAAGAGAAGGAGAAGAGAAGAGAAGGAGAAGAGAAAGAAGATGGAGAAATTTGCCTGGCTTTATCGGAGCTTTGGAGTCGGCGCTTTGGAGTCGGCGATGGAGTCGGTGCATCTGGGTTTCTTCATCACATATGGGTCTGCGCATATGAGTGTTGGAGTCGGCGACATATTCCAGCGTTTAATTTTAAAGGAAGGGCAAAAATGTAATGAATAGTCTTATTTAGGGAATAATAAACTTCAAGTCCCATTTTGGAGTTTTAACTATGTTTTAGTCCTGTTTAGGACAATTTCTTTTGACTTATATAATACTTAGTATAAGCTTTCTTTCAAAAATACATTGCACGTGTGTACATGATAAGAACACCACACTAATTAAGTGTCATAAATAGAAGACTCATATTCGTACAAACACAAGAATATTAATTAAATGCATGTTGTTATAAAAATGTATGAACTTATTTTTGTGATAGGTATTCAACTCATTGTATATATTATCCTCCGTTATGTTCTTTAATATTGCAACATTTGACTTTCACGTTTCTCAACACATAACTTTGATTGTAATTATATTCAATTATATATTAGTGAATACTATAAAAAGTTAATATTTTGTAAATTCACATTAATTAATAGAAATTTAGTACTACCTACGTCCCATTTTATGAGTTTCATTTGATTTTGACACAATTTTTAATAAAGTGAAATAAAGTGAAAATGTAAAAGTTGTGGTTAAGATTTGAGTATAATAAAGTGGAATGTTGTGAATTGCATATTTCTTTCCAAAAATAAAATGAGACACTTATTTTGGGACAACACATAGAAGAAAGTTTGACATGTAAAAATGGGACGTAGGGAGTAACATTTTATCCATAATAATTTGATTATATATATTAGTTAAAGATCGTGATCAAAGTAAAATGTATGAATAATGCTAAAAACATAATCTCACAACTATTAAAGAATGGAGGGAATATTTATGAGGAACTATTAAAGAAAATTATAAAGTGTACATTATATGCACTGACCTAGAGAAAAGGTTGACTTGGAGGATAGTCATAGGACTGGCCAAAACCAACAGTATCACAATTATTGCAATTCATTGTTGCATGTTCATAGCCAGTTTGCTGCACAAATTAAATAGGAGTATATTATTTGCTCATTCTGAGTTCTCACACAAATAAAAATACTTCCTCCGTTCCATATTAATTGCAACAGTCAACATTTTACGTTTGCCAATGCATAGATTTGACCATTAATATCTCTCATTCCTTATTAGTAAAAAAATTAAAAAAATCATATTTTGAAAATTTAGAATGAGAAGAATTTAACGATATTTTTAAAAAAATTAATTTATAATAAATTAATTAATAAAATATAATCAAAGTAGAATATGTGATAGTGCAAAAAGTCTAATGTTGCAACTAAAAGATAACGGAGGTAGTACATGTCCAGTATTATTATGACTAAATAAATGGTATTCTACTTCATCTTATTTTGAAATTAAATTATTTATACTTATAACGATTTTAACCTATGTAGAGGACTTTTAATTATCCGTATGTGATTAAAACATATTATTCCTTCCGGTATATGACTACATTCTGTTTTTAGTTCTTGTATGAAATCAAAGCACACACTATATTTTCGAAAAAAGATATTAAGAGGAGGTTTTCTTTAATTATATACAAAACTAGGACTAGAAGTACGTACTATATGTATATATATAGTAACTATAATATAAAATTGAATATAATCATGTCATTATTGTAAATATTATGGACCTACATTATGTATTAAAGTAACATTTTTATTAGTTAGGTTTGCAATTTTAGTTAGGTATAAACATGTTTTAGTCCCTGCGAATATAGTATATTATGCTTTACATCCCTGCAAAATATTTTTTTTTTGTTTTTCATCCCTGTAATTTATGTTAGTTTCATTTTTAGTCCACCGTCGATGATGATAACCTCTGTTGGACCTCAAAATAACCCCGACCAATATATTTTCTCTAATTATTTGTCATGTTATTCAAAAAGTATTCAATTTTATGTTTTCGAAGACTTTTAATATATATTTTTAAAATGTGAATAATTCGTTTTATATTATTTTAACTCTCATATTAGTCCCCAAAAAATTATAAAAAGACAAATTTAAATATTTCTAGTAGATTTATGCTACTAACCATAATTTTTTCCAAGTGGAGCGGTTTCAGAATTAGAGATGGACTAAAAACAAAATAGTGCATATTATAAGAATGAAAAACAAAAAATATATATTGCAGGGACTTAAAAAAAATTGTATCATATTTGCAGGAACTAAAAACGTATGTAAGCCTTTTACTCGCTTGCAGATTTGATGTACATTGTAACTAATAAACATTTGCAGTTTAAGTATTATTCCACCGGAAAGTACACATTATGCAAAAAATATAATCAATCGGATGAAAAAAAATACTTTAAATGCGCCAACTGCCAACCACCTTGTGATACGACGACATTATTGTGACACTCCCATAAAGGGGAGTCAATTTCAAAACTCATTCCAATAAAGGATATTTGCATTTAACATTGAACAATAACGACAATATACTATAATTGATAGTCCAGCCAAAAAAATACCTAAATTCAAAAATTTATTAGTTGCATGACTTAAATTGCAAATATCTCTTTTTAGCAACTTTTTGTATTTTTGTTCTATTTTGATCCAATTATTTCTAAAAAACTGGCATATAGTAGTAGATTATAGACATACAAATGACACCATAGACTATATATATAAACCCATAAAAAATCATACCTATGTCCCATTTTAATTAGTCATCTTTGACTTTGTCAGTCAAAGATCGTAAACTTTGATAAATAATTATTTTAATTAATACATAGCGTATTTATGGCCCGTGGTAGTGAGGTGTACTTATTAGTGTCCCGTCAAGCGTAATAGAAAACTTTTTCTAGACATAGTTTCTGATAATACCTGATCATTACAAAGATAGTGATAGCTTGGATTAGCCCCTGAAATGGATTCTCTGGTGAACATCGCCATGTTTTGGAACATGGTAGTAGATGGGTTAATTGGGTTAAGCGTCACCGCGTTACTGAACTGCGATGCGGAGAACTGCTGCACTGAATACACGTAGGATGATCTGTCCCCGTCGTCATAGTTGACCCTTTCTGTTTGTGCGAAGAAGTCAAAGGCAACGTAACGTCCAGACTCGGTCATGTTTCTCAAACATGACGAGTAATCACTGTCTCCGGCAAAGGAAAGGCCGGAACCGCTGTCGAAGGTTGTTTTCGGTGCTAGGTGATATGAATTAGGGCTTTCGGTGATGGTATAACCCCCTTTCCAACCACGATAGAACAATGAGTCTTCATGACCCGACAAATACACGCCAGGAATATCATCACTTCCGGCCGAGTATGGTGATGGAGACTGGGCGACGGATTCTGTTTTAGTGCGAGTGAACAACTGATCGAGTTTGGCAAATCTGTTGACCCTCTTGGGTCCAAATCTGGGTTGATAGTTGTTGGGTGGCAACCGGCGTAGGAATTGTCGATATTTCTGCACATTTTCATACAAAAAGTCAAAAAGACAAAATGTGTGCTAGTTCATTCATGGATGATTCATTCAATGAGGAAGTTTTTAATTG